TTGGCATTCGCAAAGAGAAATATGTCATGTTTTGGCATTTCAAAAAAAAAGGCAGTTTTTAGGAAAAATGGAATTTTTTTCACCGCCCGGAGGTGGTGCAGGGAGGTAGTACAAGCGGTGGGAAAGACATCCATATTTTTTTTTTTTTTTTATGGAGTTTTACTATTTTTTATTAATTTAAAAAAAATTAAAAAATAATTTTTTTAAAATTTTTTTTCATTAATATTTTATAAAATTTTTAATTATTTTTCTATGATTTTTTGATTTTTTTTCGAATTTATTATGAATTAAACATTTAATTAAAAGTTGTTGGGGCTTGGGTAGGGGTATACTTGTCCAAACACTAAAGTTACTCCTATTCAAAATAGGATACTCCTATTTTTGCATTTTGCCTATGTTTTGCTCCTATTTGGGGAATTCTCTCTTTGTTATTCGAGTATCACTTAATCTAGACAACACAATTCATCTTAATCCATACACAGCTTAATGAAATTAAAAGTAAACAGCCCCGTGTGCTTCATACGGAGTCACCGACGATCCATTTTTGAAAGAAAAAGTTTTGAGTAGCTATATTTGAAAACAAAACTTTAAGAAGTTAAAAATGATGATATTTTCACTTTTAGATCTACCTCCCTTTACTTTATGGGAAATTGCCCTAAATAGGATTAAATGATGTTTGGAATTCCAAAAATAGGACTATTATGTTTTTCTTTCTGAAATAGGAGTTGTTACTATCATGTATGAAAAATACTACCATGATTAGAAATCACTGTCATGCTAGTCCTATTTCGGGAATAAAACATAATTGTCCTTTTTTCAAATTTCACTCCATTTACTCCTATTTGGGAAATTACCCTAAATAGGAGTAAATGATATTTGGAATTCCAAAATAGGACTACTATGTTTTTCTTCCTGAAATAGGAGTTTTTACTGTCATGTATGAAAAATACTGCCATAATTAAAAAATACTATCATTAATTATAATAAATAATGTCATGTTAAATGCACTGTACTGCAACTATTTGACAGTCACGCCTACAAGATGACAGTAAATACTGTCATGTTAGTCATATTTCGAGTATAAAAACATAATAGTTCTATTTTGGAATTTCAAACTTCATTTACTCATATTTTGAGAAAACTTCTCTCTTATTTTGAGAAATCTCCCTTACTATAGCAGTATAGCTCCTTCCCCTTGCCTGCCCGATGCAGATGCTACCAACCCACTCGCATAGGCTCATAATTATCGAAGGGCCTAAAACAAAATTTAAGTGGAAATTACCCGTAGAGTCTATGTTTTAGAACCGAGTAGCATTTATGTCCCAAGTGATTTCTCATTTCATTTATAGACTTTTAGGTTTTCAATATTAATTTTTTATTTCAATTTTAGATAGGTTCCGTCGATACACACGTTTAAACCTCCGCCATCCTCTCCCACTCCCTCCCTGACTTCCCCTTCTCATCTCACTCGTCGCCACGTACAATCCGACTCTCTCCCTGACTTCTAGTTCTCATTTCACCACAAACAACAGATGGAATTCTTCCCAAATCAATCTTACAATTGTTCTCGTTGCAGCGGATGATGCAATATCTGGAGAAAGGGAGGTTGTATCAGATCGATCGATCCCTTATCGTTATGGTCATTTGGAACTAAATTAGAGGACTGATGGGCAGAATTTGTGCCATCAATCACACACTCCAGGTGACTCTGCATTTCATGGGAGGAGGAGGCAAATTTTCGATAGTCTCATGGGCTGAAATCCACAGGCGTTATGGAGTTTCAAGTACTAAAATCGTAGGTTACAAGTTGTTCATCCTGACCTTAAATGAAGCTAGAAACTCACAAGCTATCTAGATCTTATCAATTGCTCATCGATTCATCTCCTAGTTCCTTTCTATTGAGCTGGTACACTTGACACCCCTAGCGATCTATTCTCTACAAAGTGATTCTAGACCATCGATTCAATTGTATTTCATACTTTCGTCTTATTCAACCAAGAAATCTAGTTTCAATCCTTAGGAAAGTAGCAGGTTGGTCAGTAATTTGACCTTTGAATATTCTCTCTTATGTAAGTTATATTAGGGTTGACCCTCGTTAGGAATGCTTTAAATCAGTTTGTGTTCCTATGAAGTTCTGTAGTTTGATAGCTTATCATGGTTTAAACTTGTGATCAGTGGAAGGTTATACTATGATATTTTGAAAAGTAATTTACAGTATGAGGTTTAATAGGTTTGAAAACCAATTTCGGAAATGTGCTTCAGTATGATCAATACTAGAGAATTTTTAGGTAATATAAAAATATACAACCATGTAAGGAACTGGCAGAAGAACCCCTAAGGATTCTTCTATAAATGGTTTGAAGTTATGTTTTGAAGTATTCAGAGGAATAACTTTTCATCTATGCATAAATGTCCAAAGGAAAATGTATTTGGGTTTTCTTACAAATGACATAGCTACTATGAGTTCACTAGTTTAGGCAACTATGCTCCTCTCATCTGAAAAAGACTTATGCTGTAAAAATGTGCATAAGTGTTTATGTTAATTATACATCTTTTATTTGGTAAGTTATTGTTAGTCTTTATGTACTTCCTTCTTTTGGCAAGAAACATAGATAACCCCAAAATTGCTTTCCAAATCAAACTTTTAGACAATGTATATGGCATTAGAGAGAAGATTCTTTGTATGAACTAAGAAATCAAGTCTTGTGTTTCTGGATGGATAATGATGAGCTTTTCTTTCTATTTCAAGGTTCTCATTCCCAATAAGCATCTAAGCACTCATTTTGCCATTTCCTTTGTCCATTTTGCATTTGCGGCACATATATGCATCATACCAAAAAATCATTTTGTTCCTTAAATAATAATTTCTTTTCAAATTCCCTTCACATTTATTTTTATACAGACGTTTATCTTTATTAATTTTGTTGATCTATCACGTTATGTTGAAATAAATGATTAGGATTTTGAAGCCTTTGCTAACCGCATTTGACTCTCTAAAGTATTTGACTACTCATGCAACTCTAACAGTGGTTGTAGTAGTGTTCCAGGCTATGAATTTGTGATTGCCACGTTCATTGTTGTGGCCGAGATTGAAGACCGGCCTTGATCCAACTGAAGTGAAGCATTTCGAAGCGACATTTTCATGAGTCAATGGAGCATTGTCTGATTAGTTTCCACTTAGCTATTGATGTGACACACCTGCAACATTTCCTTAACTGCTTATCTATTGTTGATGTACATTTGGAACGATCAATCCTCTCTTGACATTGCAATAATAGCTTGAATTATATATCTGTTGTGACACTTTTATATGTAATTTTTTGTTTCTCTTTGTTGCATTGTGTATGTTGCTTTTTGTTGCGTTGTGTTGTTTTTTGTTGCATCATGTTTCTTTTTGTTGCACTGTGTTTCTTTTTGTTACATCATGTTTATTTTTGTTGCATCATGTTACTTTTTGTTGTTTATTGTTGATATGATTATATTTTTTTTATGTTTACATTGACCTTTGCTATTCGTGGGAATAAAAAACACAAACAGATATTTATCTGTTGTGACACTTTTATATGTAATTTTTTGTTTCTTTTTGTTGCATTGTGTATGTTGCTTTTTGTTGCGTTGTGTTGCGTTGTGTTGCATCATGTTTCTTTTTGTTGCACCGTGTTTCTTTTTGTTGCATCGTGTTTATTTTTGTTGCATCATGTTATTTTTTGTTGTTTATTGTTGATATGATTATATTTTTTTTGTTTATTTATGTTTATATTGACCTTTGCTATTCGTGGGAATAAAAAACACAAACATGTATATATACAATCCTATAATTTGATAAATTTGACTTTATGAATATCAATCACAACGACAAACATGAAGAAACAATAAAAAACAAAAAATTTAAAATTATAAACAAAAACAAACACAAAGAAACAATGTGCAACAAAAAGTGTCATTAAAACGATGATAGTAATAGTAATTAAATTTTGTAACAATTTTTAAAAATACTGAATTAATGGAAATCAAATTTCAACAGTTTCCCAATTTTTATTTTTTATCTTCCAATTAATTTAATTTTCATAATTTCATTTTTAAAATACTGTACATGCCTTTTAATTTCTTTAATTTTCTGCTTTTTAAAAAAATTTAAAATTTATTCACTATTTTACTTTATTATATAAAATTATTTTCCACTTTTTAATTTTTTTGGATTTTTGTGTTTTTTCAAAATTTTAGATTTTTTATTTATTAATATATTTCGGTACATTAAAAATCTATTCCATAAAAAAATCATTCAATCTGATTTTTTGATTTATTCATTAACAAAAAATCTAGTTACTTTTATATTTTTAACAGTTTTAGAACAGTATCTCATTTCTCATATTTTTTTAATACTATTTAGGTTTTAGATTTTCGAACTATTACTTTTCTAATTTTCAATATTATTTTAAAGTTTTTGAATTTTTATAAAAATATTTTTAAAAAAATCATTACAAATAACTTGTTTCTAGTTTTTATAATTTTTTGTTTTCGAGTTGTGTATTTTAAAATTTCTATAAATTTTGATTTTTTCGATATATATTTTAAATTAAAATTTCTATTTTTATTTTTAAATTTTAAGTCATAAATTATATTTCTACACATTTAATGAAATTTTTAATTTGGGTATTTTCTCTTAAAAACAATAATTTTATTTTTTCCCGAATATTATTATTTGCCTAATTATTCCCATTTTTTGACGAATTACTATTATTTTCATTTTATTTTTTTATTAAAATTAAGCCAAAATAGTGATGCGTAATTCCATATTACTTCATTTAGGAGGCATGTCTTTGGTTGGTAGACTTGCATTTACGTGGGCATGGTTATCGGTGGACTTACATTTCCCTTCGTAGGAGTAAAGAGCAGCGAATGGTCTATTTGTGATAAGAGAGTTTCGACAAGTCTATTTTTGAAAGATAAATTTAAAATTGAAATAAGTGATATTATTTTTAGTTTCAAGCTTATATACGAAAATTCTCCGAAATTTAACACTATTATTGTTACATAGCCCCCAGCCCAAGTCCAAAGAAATAGAGAGAAAGGACCGAAGGATTGGACGGACGACCGAGCCGACGACGCCTCTTTTGCCGCCAGCCTGCGACCGCGCCCCGCCTCCAAGACCAGGACTCCACGACTGAAGCGTCTGAAGCAGACTACGCAGTCACGCGGCTCGCCGCCTGTCCACCTCAGTGCCTCACCGAATCATCGCCCGCCGGTCACGGACTCACGGCCCTCTGGCCTCTGCCCCTCACTGTCTCGGACCTCGGTAGTCGGTAAGCAACTAAGCATATACGATTTTCTAAATTTTCTCTTTTTTATTGCAAATTAGTTTGTTATTACCTGTATATTTTATTGAAGCTATTAAATACATCAATTGCTAATTGTTAACGATTAAGAAACTGGTATAAATATGTTATAAGAAACAGGCTTCAGTCTTTCCCAACTTTGATGTCCACGCCTCTACCATTTCTTATAGTTTGTAAGGTATTTTGTTTTTGTTCGTTAAATTGTTTCAGTTCTCTGCTCCTCCGTGTTTCTTTAATAAATTTGGCCAATAATTTTTGGGTACCCTCTCCAATGTCAGTAAAATTTCCACCTTCAACTACAATTTTTAATGATTGGACTCGAGAATTTTATCCGTAGATATGAATTGTCTCCAAGAACTTTGAATACTGATTGTTCAGTATTTCTCAGTTTTTTACAAAAATATAAAATAAAACGAAGTATATGGATCATATGTATACCTTCGATATGGTATACTGTTTTTTCAATCTTTGTACTGATTAATCTATTCAATTTTAATGATATAGCTCACTCACTTTTAGTAAACATATTCGAGGAATAACTAAAACTACAAAGAAAAAGATTAATTTAATTTAATTAAAATTATAATTTTTTCTCAATTGTAATAGAAATATGGTCTAAGAATATATTTTCATGGATTCAAGCTCTTATTTCAGATGGAGGCTTGGGGCAGATGATAGCAAAATAAGTCCTCTTGTTTAATTCTGAACAGGACCTCTAATTTGTCAGGGCCGGCCCTGCTCCTCCCACTGCGGTCCATCAGCTGTCCTGACGCCAGGTCGACAAAGTTGACGAACTGTGAGGAGGGCAGACAGTCCTTTGCACAATACGGGTCAAACAGAGTGAACGGCAACGCCCGAGTTCATGCTCTGTGGGTAGGTAATTTGAACCTAACGAAAATAAAAAAGTTCGTTAAACTTAGTTACCCGTTCGTTGATCTTGTAAATTCCTGAATTTCAACTCGCTCTGCAACGAAATATGTGAAATTTTAGATTGGGAGAATACTATAAATGCTGAAAAAGAATCTGAGCTTGCATTGCACTGAAGGACCCATCCAAAGAGCAAAGATTGTGCGAGACATTACCCAATTTACGTTCTGTTTGAGCTGGAAATACTTTTGGGAGACCTAGGATTTATGTGTGGATCATATTAACATTTTGAAGACCTGTGCTAGTGATTAACAAGTTGGGGGCAAACTAGACCAAAAGTGAATAATGGTGGTCACTTCTGGAGGCAATCCATTTGCCAAAGAAATGGCCATACGTAAACGCATTGGCAATATGTATGTTTTCTCCTTCTTCTTCTTCTTCTTCTTCTTCTTCTTCTACTTCTACTACTAGCCATAATCCCCGCTCTCCGCTGTCATAAATGCATATTTCTGTACATATACATTGAAGTGATGTAAGCATAAACCCATCAGTTCATCATCTATATTTTTGTATTGTTGAAAGGTGTGAACCTTATCTAAGACATGTTTTTCTATGTTAGGATGCAGCATTTACCATTTTAGGGCTGAGTCATAATTTTTTAGCACTGTCTAAAATCAAAGTGTTCAAATCCATCAATTCTCATGCCTTCATGGATATCTGTTTTATCTAATTATCTTTGCATTAATAATTGAAGTGCTGGATGCATACTGTGTACACCATTGCGTCTCAATCTTAGCACCATGTTGCAATTTGTAGTTACTCCGCATAACACGCTTCTGATTGCAAATAATTTCTCCTTCCCTACGAATTTTCTTACTTATTCAGCTTGAATAAGGCATTAATAGAATTATAAACTGGCCATGGCTCTTTATGATTGCTCAGTTCTGTATACAGTTTTCTGCTTTGCTATGAAGTTGTGTTACCATCATTTCGTAAGAAGTACATATGATGTGTGAGATGCTTGATGAATTTGTCCAAGTTCTCTCGAACTTGCGAGTATTGATTAATGATTATTTTATACAGAGTATGGTTGAGGATTGTTAATGGTTCGTGGTCTACTTCTTACAGATTATCGGCTTTGATCCGCCAAAATCTTACCTACGATTCATTATATTTACTAAACATCTAAAGGTGGATTCTAAAATGCATTGAAGCATTGATTTGGTTAATTAGGCTTTGCCATAAGCACATTACCTGATCAGATAGCTTGGTTATGTGCATGCAGACTGACTAGAACTTGGTAATAAACACCAAAGTTATATAATCTAAAAGGCAGGGGTGTGGTGGGGGAGAAAAGAAATTTGTGAGATAGAAGTCCAAGCTGTTGGGGGTTTCATACTGGATGACTTTGTTTACACTGTATGCTCGTTAAACTATGCAGATATAATAAAAGAGAAGAGGATTTTCCTTCATTACGGGATTACAATGATTATTTGGAAGAAGTAGAGAATATGGGTAAGTTTTTGTATCATAGTGACTAGATTTCATAAGTCTTAAACTGCCTAACAATATTGTTTCTTTGCAGTATGTGATTTGATTGAAGGAATAGATGTTCCTGCTATTGAGGCAAAGATTTCTCAATACCAAAAAGAAAATGCTGAACAAATCATGATTTCTCAAGCTCGCAAGGTACATTCATTACCTACTACTCAAATGTCTGTATGTTATGGTGTCCCTTATAGTGCTCATGCAGGTTTTTATGTGGTAAATTAGGCTGAGGAGTTGGCAGCAGCCTTAAGTAAGGGACCTTCCCGACATGATGGTGATACAGTGAGTTGATCTAATACTCACATATTTTGACAAATATCCTTCGTTTATTTAATTCATGCATTCTCAAACATTGGATGATTTGCTTCATTGGTAAATTAGGTGCCTAGATGCCATAGAACACATGTGTTACCTCCATATATCCGAGCCTAAACATAGACAGTTATCAAATGCTCAAATAGCCGGAGAATAGATGACAAATATTAACTAAAAGATTGTTAGCTTGCATGCTTAGATGCTCTCATGCTCATATAATATGGCTTGCAGCTTGCTTTGTCATCATCAAGTAGTTAAGTGGAGATTTGCTATTATTCCTTCCAAATTTTGCATATTTGTGCATTTGGTGCCAAGTGGTGAATATTTTTTATACCCATAAAGAACTCACGGGGCATTCTGTGGGCATTAGCCAGTACTTTGCTGCTTTTCTGTCCTGCTTATCTACTTTTCTGAATTTTCATTTTTGTAGCTGATTTTTTGCTTTTTATTGCTTGCACTTTTTCGCCCTAACAGTGTCTTACCACATTGTTTTTGTAACGTTTTGCCTTGGGATGTCTTCTTTGCTACATCAACAGTTTAATAAAATCCTCAATTAAAAAAACAAGTTTTTTTTTTAATTTAGCTTATTTCAAAGCTTCCTAAATTACTTCAATGGTTTATTCTGGAAAAGGAGTCACCCGTCACCCAGGACGATGGTGATGTTTCCTGTCGTGCAATGTTTGTTTGACTGGATTTTCATCTTCATTTGCACAGGCAGGAGCCCAAAATTCTCAAGCTGGGCCTAGTACTGTGCCACATGGACAATATGCACCGGCAATTGCTATTGGCCAGCCACGCCCAACACAGCCTGTCCCAATTGCGGCTGCTCATGACGTGTATGGCTTTGAGGTTGAAGATGAAGAGAAACTGAGAGAACGAACTGAAAGAGCTGCAAGGGCTGGTGGATGGAGCCTCGAAATAAGCAGGAAAAGGGCTCTTGAAGAAGCTTTCTCAACCCTATGGGTCTGAATCTCTGCCTGTTTCTCTCTGCAGCCTTTCTGCTGAAGAATACAGCTGAGTGTGTAAAATGGAGTGTTATTTACGCTGGATCTCTAATTTGTTAATTGTGTGCAATATTTGCAAAACAAAAAAACATCCACAGTTATATTTTCATACCTCCCGCCGACACCCAGTGAAGGGACCCGATAGATTTATAACAAAAGCTAGTGGCCTCTAACTTATCTATTACTGCGTATTTAAAAAGTCTAAAAGACTGTAGTTATGTATTTGGCTCGATAACTTTTTTCAGAAGTCCAAGTCTTTTACGAGACGCTGTGCTGGGTAGCGTTCAATAAGAAGACATTTTTGTTTTTGTAACATTCCTCGTATAACACTGCGCCTCCACCCCTTCATCTTCTCCAACTTCCACTTTGCTTTCACCAAGTAATCTGCAGGTACCCTCCATCGTTTCCCCATTATGATTGTCTTTCTTACGCCCCCTTTCACCCATCTTTGTTTCTAGCGGATGTTTGTATCGATTAGTGTAGTTATATTTTGAGATTTGTAGCCAAAATTTGTGTGATATTTGAGCTTGATAAATGTTACCCTTTTGCATCAATTTAATTAAGTGTACTCGAAATTTCTGTTACATTTGAAAACGTGAAAATGTTGATTTCTATTTTGATTTGGCAATGTGATTCAAAGGTATAAATTGTGTTGTTTAAAGTTGTGTAGATGAAACAAATTCTTTGCTATAAAAGAAAGAAAAAATCTGTATTTGGATAGACAAAAAGAATTCTTTCAAGTTTATTTTGAGATTGAGAGAGTACATGATATCATTATAAAAAATAAAATGTGATAGTAATTTACACATACCTTGTGTATTAAATAAAAAGAAATAAAACATACTAACATAGTAACGATTTAATTCAATGGTGAGATGAAAACATTATAGTGATGATGAAAATTTAATGTTACATAATAATGAAAAGATGATATGGAAAAATTCAATGGTGAGATGAAAACATTATAGTGATGATGAAAATTTAATGTTACATAATAATGAAAATATGATATGGAAAAATATGTAAAGGAAGTGAAAGACAATAAAGATTTCATAACCTATGATTTGTAATCATATGTTTTAGAAAACTTTCATCAATTTTAATAACAATATATGAAGTTAAATGTGACTAATGTTGGCAGAGGGGTAAGTAGAGATGGACCAGGACCGGTTGGACCGGCCCGGTACTGGAACTGGACCGCAACTATGCGGTACCGACTCGAACCGGTTGATCAGGACCGGGCCTTGGGCCCAACCATGGGGTTTTTGAGGTGGGTCACGGGCTCAGGCTCTCTTGGAATCTGCCCGACCGGTTCGGGACCGGTTCGGGCCCAGTTTTTTTTTTTTCGAATGGATTGGGTGGTAGGCAGGTTGGGCATGGTGGTTTGGGGGTGTTTGAGAGGGGAGAGGAATAAATAAGAAAAACAAATTCTTTTTTTAAAAAAGACTCAGCTCGGCCCTGACCCGACCCGGTCCTGGTCTCGGAACCTACCCGGGCCGGTACCGGACCTCCAACTCCCAAACCCAGTACCGCTTAAGGTCGACCCGGACCTGGACCCGACCCGGGTCCGGTCCATCCCTAGGGGTAAGTAGTGAATATTCAAAACTCAGGGGGTGAATAATTGATTTATAAAGATGCAAGGTTGAATTTATAATTTTGACCTAGCCTCAAGGGACTAGTAATTATCCCTATTTTTTGACAAAAACTATCCCTACTTTAAAAACTGAATGTTGAACAAATTTACTCCAATATTATACATAGTTTTGAAGTTTTAGTTTTTTTTGAAAACAAGTTTAAGTTAATTAATTACAATTTCCATACAAAATGTATTTCATACTACGTATAAAACACACATAACGGCAACACTTTTTAGAAAAATTAGTTACCGTTTTTTGCGAATAATTATGATTTACAAATTCAAACATTCTTAGAGTTTAATTTTATTGTTGTGACTTCAAACTTATTTATTTAAATAACTGAAAGATATAAAGAAAATATTTTAATTTTATGATCTTCATTTTAGTATTTGAATTTATGTAAGTAAAGTTTTAGATGGGAAAATCTCAAGCGATTGAAACTTCATATTTTTTTTACTTCTTATATGCAATATTGGTGTCATATGAAAGATTATAAAAAGTTTTGAAATTTGATATATTTTTATAAAAATTGGATAACAAATAAAAAAGTTATAGCACTTTAAAGAAATTTGGAGATTTTATTTTTGCTGGACCCCACACCTATTCCATCTTTTTAGGCGGGAACACTATTCATTTTCCCACTCCGTTTTGTATATAGATAGATTTTTTAATCTTTATTTTTAGGAATTGAAATATATTTCTTGGTAATATTCTTTTTTATATGGGTTATCATCAACAAAACCTGGCAGCTTTTTGGGTTGTGTATTTGTTAAATGTTCAGGTTGTGTTCGTTCACTATAGTGCTAATTTTTTAGGACCATGAATGTTGCTTTCCCTAAATATTTCAAATTCCACCAAATTTCTCGAATATCAAACAGGCCTCTGCTAATGTCACAAGTCCAGTTTCCAAAATGATTGCAATTGTTACATGAATAAATCAAATCACACCCTTTAAATGTTCGTATAAACATTTGGTAAAGAACTTAAATAAATAAGAATAAATTAAAACATACCCTCATGGCATTGCCTTGAACAAGTTCATCTCCATTCTTGCATATCTCCTGTTAATTAAAGGTCTGAAGAGAATTTGATATGATTTGGATTTTTTTTAGATGAAGCTTGAATAAAATTTACAAAACCAATTAAAAGAAGAAATTATCGGATTTGAAAATGAAAGTAAAAGACTATTGAGAGTAAAAATTAACATAAGCTACCAAATTGAAGATGGATTTTTTTATCCATCTAAAGTAAAAGACTATTGAGAGTAAAAATTAACGTAAGCTAGCAAATTATTGCAAGTTGAGTGGGTAAGGATCTTTTTGTCATCTAAAATCGAGACAATGAAGGAGATGAACTTGTTCAAGGCAATGCTTGTTAATCTTCAAAAAAAAATCCTTACCTACTCAACTAAAGTCAATGCCCCATTAATAAAAGTTTCATCTCCCTAATGTTGGAAACACACACACACATGGAAGCAAGATCAAATCAAATGAATAGTTCTAATATTTCCAAAACCTTCATCATGTTGAATAATTGAACGAGGTCGATGACGTCTGACTCTTTCTCAATTGAATCGTCTCGGAGCGTTAGTCTCTTTTCTGATGGGGAGAAGAGAAAGTGAATGGTGGTTCAATATATTGGGGACCATAACCTATATATATTGTGCTAGGCTTAGCTAGAGTTCTCATTAAACCTTAAGAGGTAACATAGGCGCTGCCCACTTATTGACTCATACTGTCACGCTCCGGACCTCACCGGAGACGCTAACAACCGCCGTACAATCTAAATAAGTCAACCGCGGTCAAACTTACTCAAACCATACAAGGCATAATGAATATCATACACATATAGTCATCAATAAACAAACATAATAAGCAATTCAATATGCAGCGAAAATGTGTAATTTAAAACCAAATGCCACACGGGACAAACATGAGCACACAGACTCTAAAGTAAAATATCCATGAGCAAGTTTATTATTATTATTCAAAAACAGAATGGAGGAAGCACGAATCAAGTCTCATCTCCAAGATGATCACCCGAACAACGGGTACATGAAGCAAGCCATAGCCTCAACCTGAAATGGTGGTGGGACGCTCCCGAAGGGCTCAATACTTTACAGAAACTATAAAGTACTGGTGTGGATGACATCTAATAGATATACAACAAGTATTTCAAACACAAGACCCTCAAATAGGGTGATAGTATAATCTAGGTCGTAACTTCAAGTTACCCCGTTTGAAAATATACTTACTTTATATAAAGTCAAGTAGTCGGCTTGTGGTTCAACCTACATTTGCATAATAATTATAGGGAAAATTATTATTTTTTAAATAATACGGAGTACAAACTATCTTCCAAGAACCAAGAATAATTCGTACTTTGAAAATAACTTTTAATAATACCAACTATGTAAATATAGACCAAAAGTAATATAGAGCATTTTTATTAAAATATCAAATAATATTAAAATTCAGTCGTTTAATTCACCAAAAAATAATATTAAAATATCAAATAAGTGATTGTCTTTCCACATACTATTTATTTGATGGGTTGCTAATAGTTTTTTATGTCTTAAATGATCGAATTTCTTGTTGAAAAGTGACTTCATATTATTTTTGTTTTATATTCAAATAGTTGGTATTATTAAAAAACTTTTTCAAAGTATGTATTATTATTGGTTGATGAACGATAGTCGGTATTATTTAAAGTTATTATCCCATAATTATATATACCAACATACAAATTATTAATAACAATAACGATATATTAATAGTTATATACAGTTTAATAATATTAACATTGATAATAAACAGCAACAACACCCGGTGTTAATAAATTAACAACAATAACATACAAATGTTGGTAATAAGAACATCAATAGTATTCATAAATTTTTATTACGAAAACAATGCACAATAATAATAGTGTAATAGTCTTATTAATTTTTTATCAATGTTAATAGCAAAAGTTTATGCTTTTATATTTATAATTACATACAAATAACAACAATAACAATAACATTGATAATAATAGTAATGACTATGATAACAATTACAATTCTTATTCTTATCATTACAACAACAACAACATCCATGCCTTAGTCCAAAAAGATATTGAGGTCGGCTAACATGAATCGATTCTTATTATTACAATAGTGATAATAATCACAATCATAAAAAAAATAATAAATCATGCATGAACTTTTATTATTTGATCTTAGCGTTTCTGATCTTAATCTTTTAGATATGATCATATCTGAATGCTTCTGATCGGACATGATCTGAATCTTTCTTACCTGATTTGATTTGAACTATTTATGATCTGAAATTATTTTTTCTATTGTGTTCTTATCGGAATAAAATAAAAATAAACAATAAGAAAGAAGAATAAGATGAACATAACAACTCCTAAGGGGTCGTTTGGTTCAAAGAATGTCAGATTACCACGGGAATGTCAGATTGTTGGGAATGTTAGATTGATGAGAATGTATTCAATTTATTCCTATTTGTGGTTGGTTAAGATAGAGGGAATGTGTCATTATTTATTTGGTTGAAAAATATCTTATATTGCAGATATGATGAATTATTTCAATTACCTTTAAATATTTTCCCTTAACACAATAAATCTATTACAACCTACATCTAAAGTAATTAAAATTAAAGAAAAAATGAAATATCTTAATAATAAATAAAATCAAACCTAATTTAATTATTTTTAAGTAAAGTATGTTTAATTGTAAAAAGTTGTAGATCCAATACATAAAATTTACATGTTTAGGAACTACATATATATATATATATATATATATATATATATATATATATATATATATATATATTAGCATTTCAAAAAAAAATAAATTTAAAAAATGTTCAAGTTATTCGTAAAACTTGTTTTCAAATAAAAGAATAAATCACCAATTTATCCATTAAATTTTGAAATCCAATCATCAAAAACTTAAATAATCTATA